CATAATATAAGTTTATATTAAAAAAAAAAAAAATTTTTTTTGTCGCATGTCTCCAGAAAACCTGGTTTTTCAGAGACTTCCCGACCTTGGATGGTTCTAATTTTTATAGCACACCTAGAGGGGGCCTTGATACACCTTTATATAAAAAAAAATGAAAAATAAAAAAAAAAAATTTTAGGCTTGGGAAAGGGGGGGGTCCCCTTAAAGCTATGTTTAAGCGCCCTACTCAGAAACCAACTTTGTTATTTTTCGTCCGATTTCATCCAAATTTTTCCGAGGATGTTAGTCTAGAATAGGATAGATTACTAGTGAAATATCCTCCCCCAACTTCCAAAAAACTAACGAGTAATAGTCAATTTATTGGTCGAAAATACCTTATATGCAAGCGAGGTTGTCACAATAAGCCTACGAGTTAACATGACTGAGCAGTTAGTTGGCTGTTGGGTGCCCTTAAGGGTAGACTGTGACAGGAAGATCATTAAACAAAACGAAAGATCTGCATTTTTTATTGTAGCAAAAGAGAATTTCAAAAATCCAACTCTGTGACGACCTAGTTCTACCTGTCTACTATACAACAAAAAAAAGAACTATCACTTCCATATTGGGTCGCTATGAAGAAAAATCTGTCTGCGTTAACGGCTTGCTCAGAAAAACTGATTTTAAGAAAAATGAAAAAAAAAGATTTTTGATGCAATCATCGTCTTCATTCAAAATACATCTTCTTATTGTCTTCGTCTTATTTGTGAAACTTTATTAATAATGTGTATGTGGACATATCGTATAACGATTACAAATAGGTATCATACCTAAATTGTGGTCATGGTTTTTTATTCATAGATGTCCCTTCATATCACAGATGTTTTTATCAACTTTTTCGTTAATGATTTTTTCATTATTTGGCTTGATCGAAAGAACTGATATTCCTATGACATGCATAACTCAGCAAGATCTTTTAATTCTGAAACTTTCAGCTCTATAGCTATGAGTAATTGTAAAATACATGAGTTGAAAGTAGAAAATTGGCAGCTAACGAATAAGACACTATTGTCTAATTGATACTGCGTTTTTGTAGGATCTCTCACGAAAAAAAAGTTTGACTTTTCTAATATAAGAATGTTGCCGCTACAAAACTGTTAAAAAGTAAAAATCATATGATTAGTTCTTAACAAACTAAATAGCTATTAATCGAAATTGAGTTACTTTTCAACATCTCTAAATTTTGTATTGCTTCAATTTTTGAAGAACAAAACCAAATTATCGCGTAATAATGAGAGTTAGTTTTAAAAGTATTGAGAATCTGCGAAAAAATAGGGAAAATATGGAGATTTTCTAAACAGAATCATAGATGTGTTATCAGTCTGGAAGAATCCATGTGCGTTTTTCGGAATAATGTCTAAGAAAAAAAAATTTCTCAATGCATAAGCTTTCAGGTTGAAATGTGGATATCATGTATGTTGTCTTATCTTGTGAAACTAATATAAAATATGTGAAGTGAAAAATCTCTTGTAGAATATAATTCTTTTTCAGGTAAATCGATCGTCACAGTAAGAACCTTTTTCATTTCACTTTTTCGAATAGAAGTTCTTTCTTCGGCAAACGCTCTATTTTTTGTTCGCATTGACACCATTTGCTCATTTCTTTTTATTTCTTTCTATTCGTTTTTACAGATTTTATATTCTTATTTTAAAACCATTGAATTGATAGGAAAATAAGTCTGTTTCACAACTTCATATGTATAGTAGATTTTGCGCATTGTTACGCATTGCTCAACACTGAAAAAACGATATTCCTTATTGTTCGAAGTAGTAATTTGATCAATTTTTTAAAAGTACTCTAGAAAACTGAACTAATGTTATTATGGATTGCTTCATTCTGTGATGAGAAGAGGGTTGTCTGCAATGAGGACCTGCTTTCTTAAGTGTCTATGATCGGAGGAGGAGGAAACCGTAAAACATTCACTTGAAACTTCCAGTCAATATTTTCCTCGAAAATATACCTGAGCTTCACGAAAAATCATCAACCTGCAAATGAAGCAACGTAAAAAGTGGGGGTATTGATTGGGTTTTGAACGGCGACAAGATAAATATTCATACCACCAAGTCGAGGTACTCTCAATACTTTTAAAATTAACTCTCATTATTACGTGATAATTTGGTTTTGTTCTTCAAAAATTGAAGCAATACAAAATTTAGAGATGTTGAAAAGTAACTCAATTTCGATTAATGGCTATTTAGTTTGTTAAGAATTGATCATATGATTTTTATTTTTTACAGTTTTGTAGCGGCAACATTTTTATATCAGAAAAGTCAAACTTTTTTTTTCGTGAGAGATTCTACAAAACGCAGTATCATTTTGAAGATGAGAAGGGTGAGTTGAAAAAAAATGTTTTTTTCTTGTGTTTTCTCATTTTCAACGGTAATCGGTCAAATTAATTAATTTTTTTCTCATTTTACATGAATAGATAGAGTAAAGTGAGACGAACATTTTTTTTTACTTTTTTCAAAACTTTTTTGCATGACTGGTTAGAGAACACTTAGGGCTATCTGGCAGTAAAAAAATCTTTTTTTTCTGATGTAAAATGGTTGAGAAATGACTGAAATACACTCATTTTTTCGATCAAGTGATCCGAATTACCCCAGGTCACTCTATATATGTCATACATAATATGTGCGTACGCAATTGAAATTTGAATATAAATGCGTTTATTTGTTTTGCATTATCGTCAATATTACTCATTACTTATTTACGATATATTATAAATAGAAGGTGAAGTAAAGAATATCTTATTCGATAAGATAAAAAAATGTATGGTGATCGACTATCAAATGTATTATTTTTGCTTATCTTAATATTTAATGTTTATAAAATACAATGTTAAAACATACAATTTGATACAATACTTTGTTTTGGTAATTCAAATGCTGATATTGGCAATGTTTATAAATTTTCAAATTGAAAATGGCCTATTGATCCATCTTATTATAAAATTCGATATTTTAATGGAAAAATTTGAATAGACAAATTAGGAATATCGAATATTATTGATTATGCATACGGAAGTGCAACTACTGATAATAACTTAGTACGAGGTTCTACAATATTTAATTTAACAGTACCACATGTTTGTCAACAAATAACTACGTACAAAAATACTATTCATTCAAGAAAGATAAATTATCATCGAACAATTTATGTTATTTGGATTGGTCAAAATGATTATTGACTTTAAATTTAGCTTTAGCTTTTCCTCCATCAATTATTATTCAAATTATAAATGATTTAATTAAAATAGGTGTTAAACATATTCTTATTATTAATCTACCACCATTTGAAACATATCCAGCTACAACTGTTTTTAATGTACCTGATCTATTAAAGAAACTTACATTTGATCTTAATAATAATTTATTAAATTCAGTTCGACTACTTCAAACAAATCATTCAAAATCTTTGATTTATTTTAAATATTCATATGAATATCAAATCATATGGAATAAGTAGTACGAATATATGTTATTATATAGGATATTATATTATTATTGCA